CGGCCCGCCGCGCGCGCGGAGCCACCATGTCCGGCGAGGTGCGCCTGCGGCAGCTGGAGCAGTTCATCCTGGACGGGCCGGCGCGGAGCAGCGGGCAGTGCTTCAGCGTGGAGACCCTGCTGGACGTCCTCATCTGCCTGTACGACGAGTGCAGCAACTCCCCGCTGCGGAGGGAGAAGAACATCCTCGAGTACCTGGAATGGGGTGAGTGCTCCCGCGCGCCCCGCCGCGCCCTCCGGGCCGACCCGCCTCGCGGGGCTTCCTCCTGACCGCCGCCGCCTCCTCTTCTTCTTGTGTTGGTGAGCACCTTCTCAGGAGTAGGAGCGGGGCACCTCGGCGGTGGCCTTGATGGAAGAAGGCCTCCTCCGCCGCCTCTTGGAACTTAGCACGGAGGACTTAGATCTTTAGGGCAGCGGTAAGATTTCACAGAACTCCTGGGCCGGGCAGAAGGGGTTTGCTGCTGGAGGTTGCCAGAGCATGGCCGAAGGACAGCCTTGGGCTGGAAAGAGGTTTGCTGGCGCAAGCCTTCCTCACCCACCGTCTTCGAGATCACTGGGGACGAGAGGAGAGGTTGAAGTGTTGGGGGGACTTGGAGGTGGCTGACCGGGGGCACAAGCTAGGGAAATGGCTAATCATGGACTCCCTACCCCGCCCCCCCAAACGGTCAGGTCTCTAAAGTAAAATAACGGGTATTTACGGATTTTTGTGACGCTTGTTGATGGAGACTGATTCGAGGTAGCTTGAGAGTTACATTTTACCCCGAATCGGATTTCAGCCTTCACTGGGTAGAGTTTTGCTTCAGACTTGTAAATAGAGATGTGACCCCGAAGACCTGTCACCGAGCTAGAGCTAGGGTGCCGGCTTCCTAGCGGGCTGCGCGGGGCCTTCACGACTCAGGCAGGGCTGGAGTGCTGAGCCTCCGCTGCGCACGCCGACGCCGACGCCGACGCCGACGCCGACGCCCGCACTCTCTTCCCCGCCCTCGCTAGTGTCAGTGGCTCTGCAAGGATTTTGGCCAACTGCTGTTTTGTGTCCCCGTTGGAATGTTAATGATTTTTGTTTGTTGGTATGTTTTTATACTAACCTTTGTTTCAGAGTAAATCTTTATTTTCTGGAAGTAAAAGTCTGGTGCTGTTTGTTTTTAATTTTTTCGGACTTCAAGTTTACTCAAAATTAGTTTCTTAGCTCAACTAGTGATTCAAGAAATGATTACACATCGTGGTTTTTTAGTTGTCCAGTTTGCCAGTGTTTAGAAGAATGACTGCTAGCAATATGAGGCCAGTTTGTGATGCAGTTTACTGGGAATGGGGTGATTTTTTAAGACTTGTGAATTCATGCCTTTTTTTTTTTTTTTTCTGTGGGTCGTGGGGCCTGAACTCTGGGCCTGGGCGCTGTCCTTCAGCTCTTCAGCTCAAGGCAAGCACTCTACTGCTTGAGCCACAGCGCCATTTCTGGTTTTCTAGTGGTTTATTGGAGACAAGAGTCTCACAGAGTTTCCTGCCTGGGCTGGCTTTGAACCGCGATCCTCAGATCTCAGCCTTCTGAGTAGCTAGGATTACAGGCGTGAGCCACCGGCACCAGGCTACATGCCTTTTTATGTGTAATATAAAATATAAAGCACATAATGGTTTTACATCATATGTTTCATAAATTCACTTTATCCCCCGGTGCTTTCTGGTTATTTGGTTTACGGAGTTTTGTGCTATGAGTTTTTGGTGTATTATTAAAATAAATGCTTTCTGTTAAATATATTTTCTTTTTCCTTTTTTTTTTTT